ATATATATATATATATATATATATATATATATATATATATATATATATTATATATATATATATATATGTGTGTGTGTGTGTGTGTGTGTGTGTGTGTGTGCATATCTCTTAAGATGCCTCCACTATCCTATCAGCAGTCAGAAGGGCTTCAACCTACTCCTCGAACCAGACGACTAACCTACTAGTGATTTGTCTAATGATATTAGACAACTCCACTAGTAAGGTCTTATGAGACCTCAGCATCAATCCAATCACGCAGGACTGCGTTGTCTGAGCCAATGTCAAAGCTCTCTGCTCCAAGTCGCATAATCGACATTCTGTATAATATAAATATAACTCATCACCACACATTTAAGTGTTACTATTACACCATTTTCTATCTACTCGCTCACTGGTATCCCCATTCACCTTTCCCAATAGCATCTGACATCACCGTCGTAATCATCTTTAGTATCTCAGTGACACTCTGTCCACTAGTCGATCCCGTAGCACCATCTCTCTTAGACATCATTCTACAATCGAATGGGGAAACCTTAAGAATACTACAATTTAATAATAAACATATAACCATATGAACATTACTACACTCAGTTCCTTAGACGTTGTGACTTCTCTTGACTCGGGCGTGGATCATGTGCTTTTGATAGAAGGGGCCCTACTACGACCGTCCACATCAATCCATGCCTGCTCCAAGGTTCTTCCCAAAGTAGCTAAGTCACTTTTCACCGACAAATCTGACGATGTGCCCTACACCAGCACATGTCAACACTCTTCCTAACTTACTAGGACTCCCACCCACCTTGCTATTAACTGCAAAAGAAACTTCTACCGATATCAACTAACTATCTTACGAATACAATTACATGCAACAACAGTTAAAAAGTCCTTCGGCTAAAAGATCCATCACTGCAATGGCTAGACTCAAATAAGAGTTGCGCAATAGAGCCAAATCAAACATTCTAAAACTATTTATTTTTTATGGCATGTAACCTAACACATTCACTTAATAGTTAGCTAAAATCAGTATAGACCCCTCTTAGCACAAAGCAAGCAACATTCGAGTAGTTAGTATAACAAGCAATTCTATCATGTCCACCTTATATCAACATTTGCTACATTTTCCTAGATCCGTAAGAATCACCCTCACCCTGCAATCCTACATCTCATGGAATTTCCTCCAGTCTTGACGTGTCGTCTCGTGAATGCACAATTGTATTCAATGTGAAACCAGATAGTCACTCAAATAAAAGATTCCGCACCAAAACGGTTGGACTTAAACAAGAGTTGCGCACCAGGCTAAATCATGCATTCTAAGTCTATTTAGTTCCTATTGTATACAACTCTAGGCATTCACTTAACAACCTATGAGTACTAACACAAATTATAAATAACACATAACCGACATCCAACATAGCATGTAAAAAATCAGGCTATCTAGCATACATATAACAATCTTATATCTAAAGACAATAAATAAGATTTGAACACTTTCCCTTTTCCTCTAGCACTGGGTGATTGTACACACTGCGTTTGCGATAACCTTATTCCAACCATTTTTTTGTTTTCATAAAATTTATTTTAAAATAACTCTTGAGTTGCAAACTTGAGTTTAGAACTCACCAAAGTGAGTCTGATTCTCTCAAGCTGTGCTTTGATACCAACTTGTAACATCCCAAAATTTCCAATAAATTTGAACTTTTTAAACTAGCATAAATCGTCTATTTAATATATTTTATTCAAAAACAAATGAAATACCAAACCGTAAGATCAATTCAATTTCCAAACATCATTAGTTATAACTAGAGAAGATTCCCACATTGCGTGGGTTGCCGATAACACAGATCATTACAAGCTTTGTCGTCTTCTTGAGACTCATCAGACCGTTGTGGTTCCGACTAACAATAATGACATGAAATGAAAATATATGCATTAGTTATAGCATATATAACTGATAGATGTAAAAAGGTTATACTAATTTTCGAAGGGTAAAAATGCTTACAAGAGGGAATTGCCATGGAGATTACAGAAAAATGCCTATGAATTTAAGTTTCTACAGAGACTTTAATTTAGTTTAGAAAGGGACAAAAATGGAAATTTGTAGAATTTCAAGGTTGATAAAAGATCCAAACACTAAACAAACCCATTCTACTCGGATAAAATATTTAAAAAGCAGAAAATCCAATCATGAATATATTAAAATGGTAAAAAGAGAAATATACCCACCCAAAAATGGCAATACCAGTTGAATACAAAACTATCCTCTATTTTCACATACTATACACATGTCATAATTGTTGCTGGTTCTGATATATATGACAACAATACCAAAAAGAAATACGACATCCCCTCTTCGTTTTAAATAAGCGGAAGCATTCCGTTTTGGTTCTTCGCGGGGGTTAGAAGGTATTCCACTGTAAAAGATGTTATTGATTAAATATTTAAAACGGATTGTTAATTAGCCATGCCAACAACATAGAATCTGGATGTAGCTGCCATTCCTTCAGGCCTTTCTTCTCTCCATTAGTTGTCAAAGTAGTTGCCTCTCCATACCTTATTTTCTATAAGTAATGAACACATAGGTAAATATTGAAAATTACACATAAAATCAATGAAAACAGGGATGGAATTGCTGATTACCGAGGTGGTTGTGTTTCCCCTGAGATTTTAGTGCTAAATCTAATAAAGTTACTTGAAAATCTGATGCGGAAAATAAAAAAAAAAAAAAAAAAAAACGGTACAATAGGTCGATAACTATGGATAGTTTAAGTATCCTATTGATAACTTTAAGTTGATATGCATTTGCTCCACCAAATCATTTTACTCTTTTGTGTCACTTGACATGTTTCATTAGACTTGGAATGTCGATTCCATTCTTGTCATGTATTGCTACACTGATATCATTTGCACCATCATATCTCCATATGCAAAAGGACTCTCGATTTTATCCTATATTGTTGCCCCTTCATCAAATGATCCTCTCCCATTTCATCAAATTTACGATGATTTATTTGCAAATAAAAATAAATTAAAATAGGGAAATTGTAAAATCTAAAAAAAAATGTGTGAAATGATGCTTACACGACTTTCAAATTTGCTGGTATGTTGTGTATCTCTGGATCATTAGAGTTTGATCGTAACAAAAATGGGGCCCAGTAAAATATCATTGTGGCATTATAATCCTGAAATAATTAAAAAAATTCAACATTCATTTTCAAACATATAATAAATAATAATCAAATACTTGAAATTCTCCGTTAAATATAATTTATCTTTCTAATAGCTGTTATGATTATTTATTGACAATTTGAAAATTTTGGTTTATAGTTTTTGAAAAGAAAGCAAGTTATTTTCACTTGGGGTAAATTATACTTTTGGCCCACGACTATAACCGATTTTTTCATTTTTTTTCCAAAATAAGTTTTCTCTTGTAAATTTGGTCATTGTTTAAGGTTTTTGTAACCTTTTTGGTCCCTATATCATATTAAAAATGTGGACATTTGTTTTTGGTTAAACTGGCTGAAATTTATAATAACAGATTAAAAGTACAACTAGGTAGTACATTACCTTAATAAAAAGAATAAACGGTGTAAACAACTCGTATAATATTGGATAGCTTTTTTTGAAGTACAATGTGTTGATAATTATAAGAATTTTTTTTAGAGTAAAATATTACAGTAAAAGGAAACAATTTGTTTATTAGAGCATCTTACTTGCACTTTTCTATTACAACATTTTATTTTGAAAATTTTTACAGTAGAAGGATGTTATAATACAAAAATAAACAAAAGTACATTGTTATTTCTCATGCAACATACATTGATTTTCAAAGGTTGTCATGTTTCATCTTTATTAAATGTTGATTCAGGTAATTCATATGTTCAAAAAAAGCAATTCTACTTACATTGTTGATGACACTGAACATAATGAACTTTCCAAATTAATACCATTTCTTTTAAATCATTAATTTTGGATATATTTGTAAAGACTATGAAGCAATGTAATCATCACCATCTTCATCTTTTGATAAGCCTCTTACAAATGATCAAACCCAGATTCAGACCCAATTTTTTCAATATTTGAAGAATATGCAGCTGCCACCACCAGCCACCAACCACCATCTTAAAGCATCTTCACCCTCTTAACCTCCTCAATACATCTCAACTCATGAAGATAGAAGAATCTTGAACTATCTGAACCTAATTCCCCTTTTTTTGTTCTCTTCACAACTTTAGACCATCAAGAAGTACTAAAAGCTACTCAATTTATTTTCTTGAAAATATTAAAATGAAGATAAACAAATTATGAACATGGAAAATACAGAAAGAGACATCGATGAGAGGAAAAAGTGAAAAGCGGATGCGTTTCTTCAAAGGCCACCACATTCTCCTTCTGGGAAAGAAAAATTTATAGAAACATTAATAGAAGTAACAAAAAATTCGAAATCAAAAGAAAAGTTGAAATTGAAACCCATTCATTAAAAAAAACAACGTATGTTACTTCCTTATGCAGTTTCCAACAAACATGGATCAGATAAGGATTTTCCCATCTTATTGTCGATGTTGTATAACTGAGGAAAAAATTGAAAATTTCAAAGTTAATTAGGGTTCACAACCGGAGTATAGATAAGCATCTATCTTACGTGAAATCTTACCTACGAGGGGACAACAGGAGCAATCAGTGGTGAGGGTGGTGCTGACTTCAGCTACTTCAAATTAAGTCATAAAAGAAACACCCACCATGGTTAATAAATATAGTGTACCGAAATCGCCGACGGCTGTCGACCTTATCGTCGGAAATACCGATATTGTCGCCGGTAAAATACTCCCCGGTGGTTCGTGTGGTGTGATGGTGATAATCGAAAATATTCGGCTTCAATCGGTGGTTCCTGTCGCGTGGTGGTGATAATTGCCGGAGGAAACATTGTTGATTGCATCTTTGGTCGACTGCAACTATACGAAGGTTACAAAGGAAGAACGCAGCGAAATCGATCTCTAAACCTGAATCGCATAGAATGAGGCAATGGCGGTGGAAGAACAATGGGAGGGGAAAGAGAATCGAAACAGTCAAAGGCTGTGGAAGAAAGTCGATAAATCGATTGGGTCAAGAGGCGGTAATTGGAGGAAGTATTTGAGGTGGTGGAAATGAGGTTTAACACCCCGTTCCGAGTTCAACTTTTACGAAAGAAAAGAAATGACAATAGAAGAAATTGGTTTTCCCTCCTTTCATTTAAAGGAGGGAAGTGGAAGGAAATGGAGGGAAATATGATGATTATTTTCCTTCCCAACTTTCCTTCCGATTTGGGAGGATTTGGAAAGAAATAATAAAATGATTCATTTTCTTTCCACTTCTCTCCGTCCCGGGAACATAAAAGAAAATTTTGTTTTCCTTTCCTTTCTCTTCTTTTCTCTCATGACTTTATTTTCTCTTCACTTCTTTTCTTTTGTTAAATTCAGGAACGAGGCGTAAATGTATGTATTTGAGGCGGTGGACTACCAGAGTAACCCATGAACAGTATCACACACACACACACACATATATATATATATATATATATATATATATATATATATATATATATATATATATATATATTTGAGGCGTAAAGGTATGTATTTGAGGCGGTGGACTACCAAAGTAACCCATGAACAGTATCTCACACACACACACACACACACACATATATATATATATATATATATATATAATACTAAAATTTATGAAAACATAACCAATTTAATATCATTTCCAAAAACCAACATCCCGCCTCGAGCCAGTATGTACAATCATGCCTAACCATCGTATATACCTGAAACATTATTTTTAAAAGAAAATTGGTAAACACAAAGCTTAATGAATTCCACACATACACAATATTATGAGAGACAAAATTAAGAAACATGCAAAAGTTTGAGGATGCTTGACGACGAGTGTGAACCCCGGCTGTAAAATCTCCAATGACTTGAGAAATAGGGTGATCTCGTACATCACGAAGATTAGAGTGAACAAGCATAGATTGGTTATAAACAGTCTGTAAAATCTCCAATGACTTGAGAAATAGTATGATCTCAAACGTCATGAAGATTAGCGTGAACAACCATAGATGGGATATAAACAATGGGAACTTATGTGACAGAGGAGTCTTCAACAGGGTGAACAAAAACTTCAAATTAAGGACAAGGAGTGGAAACATAGTGGCTTGAAACAAGTATAGGTGGAACGACATAAACTTCATATTTAACGCAAAACCGACTCATGTTCACCATAAATCCATTTTAAAATAAGATAATTAAATGGGATGAAATTGACAGAAAATTGAAATTGAAGGTCTAAACAAACGTTTTTCGCGGCGACATATTGGGTAAATGCATTTTGTATTTCTTAGGAGCTCTGTCTCAAAAAGATATTACCGCCGATATAAAGTGGGTCTCCATACCCCACATGGATCAAAAGTTGCATCCATTTTAAGTTGTCTCTTTTGACATCGTTTGTCTTCCTCTCATTTATCTATGAAGACATAAGCTAAGTATTCAATCTATGAAGACATAAGCTAAGTATTCAATCTGCTCCACACCAAATCAATGACTATGTACAACAACGATATAGGATCACATGGCAAGCCTTCTAAGAACGCGACATCGCATTTATGTTGGATCAACTAACAGTCTATTATGTGTTTTTGTATGTTGGTGTCTATCATCTCCACAAAAGCTCTTTTGGAGAAACAATCTTGGATTCAACATATATTATACATGTACGATTCAAATCTCTAAATGATTTAATGTTGTCTGGCAAGATTGTTGAATGAATATGTTGAATGAGAAAAATTACCAATTTAACTTTAAAACAAAAACAAAAACATTTATCTGATTTCATATTAACATTTATCAAACACGTTTCAACAAAGATTTCAACAACACAATTATCACATTTCAAATAATTTGTTGATGATTTATATCACATAAACTGATTGAATTAAAAAATAACAAAGTTATAAAACTAGACAAATACATGATTGATAAAACCCTTTAATATAATTAAAAAAGGGAATGAGAAAACACGTATACAAAAAGATAATGCAATACACCCGGAGGAAGTAAGTCATGAGTTGACATTGAAGAACACACTGCACAAAATAGTCGTAGTCATTGGCGTGCAATTCACTTCTCTCCTTCTTTACACCACCCAGTCATGCATATATACTCAAAAACCCTACACAACAGCCGCCATCTCATGGCCTCCTTTTCAAGAAAAACCCCATGGAAGAACCACCTCTTCTCGATCCTCTTTCTCGCAATCCTCCTGGTTGTTCCCACCTTCTCCACCAGTCGCCGGGAAACTATTACAATGTCACCGGACCAAATTAGAAGAAAAAACGACGCCGTGGGCTCCAACTATCGGCTCAGAATAGTCTTCAGTATGCTGCCTAAAGGACAACCTGTGTCACCTTCTGCTCCTTCAAAGCGACACAACTCGGTGATCGGTTCTACGCCTCAAGATTGAACAATTCCTTTTCTTTTTTGGTTTGAATATTTTGTTGAGATTATTGTGATGATTGGTTAAAGCCAAACGGGATATATATAAGCAAATTAAAAGGTGCTGATTTTTTTCTTTTTCGATAAGAATTGTATACGAATACGATAGTTGATTCATGCTGTTTAACAAAAAAATAAGATACGATAGTTAATCCATAGGATTCGAGTCTATATAGAGTGAGACATGTTTGCATTAGACAAAACGTTTGTTCATACAAGATTAATGTGATTCACAACGATGATCAATAATTATGTTGCGCTGATTAAGATTTCTTTGGTCAGTATAGAAGGGAACAATCGTGTATACTTTATTTGTATGTAAGCTAGCTTCATTAATTAAATTATAAGTGGATGGATCTTATTATTTGTATTTCACTTTTCGTTGTAAATAAGTTGTGATTTTTTTTGAAATTATGAAATATTCATTGCTTTTACAAGTAAATTAATCTAGACAGGATGCCTACGATCAACGACTAACTACAAATTAACCGATGTATTAATTTTAGGATGATTCTATTTGTATCTGCAGGTTACTAAATGCATCCTCAAGACATATGTATGTGGGTGTGGGTATGGGTGCCTGGTTGACCCCCACTGATCATATGCATCTTGTAATTAATAGGGTTAATTAGTAGCACCCTAAATTTCCTAAATTTAAAGCATTTTCGTAACAACCATGCGTATTTAGTTTACTACCAAAAACTCGATTTGACATCATATATAGATCATTCATCCTTATTATTGATCGCTTGGAAATTATTTATTAATCAAATCTTTATGTAACTTTAAGGCTTTTTAAGGAAAAAAAAAAAAACAATATTTCATAAGACTTGTTTAAATAAATAAAACTTGTTTGATAATCTATATCTGATTTAAAGGTCAATTGTATTTAATAAAAAAGGTGTTCTTAATCATTTTCTGTTTTAGAGAGTATACCGTAAAAATGAACGTTCTTAGCATATGTCATACACTTATAATAAGATAAATTCATATAAGACCCGGTTAGTAATATTCAATTTCTATTTTAAATGACGAAGTTTATGATTTTATATATAAACTATTGATTTTTACAATATATTTTAAAATAGATATCAACCGAAAATAATCATTTTTATACATTCAATTTGTAGTTTGAAGTCAAAATCGAATTATGAAGTTCAAAGAAATTGCACAAGTCACACCTGGACTTGACCAATTATTTCTTGACTTCACTACTACAAAAAAGAGCATTACCGACGGCCAAAACCGTCGGTAATCCGTCGCTAATACTCTTAACTGACGGAATTATAACAGACCAAAATCCGTCGGTATATTCTTGTCGCTAACTGCTTGTAACAGATTTCCGACAGCTACAACAAAATTTTAGCGACGGATTTTTCTGTCGGTAACTAATAACGGGAAATATTTTTGCAACAGATTACAGACAAGAATATGTTTCCAACAGATTACCGACGGAATAATTTACCAACTGATTACCAACGGAATCTCGAAATAGTTTAGTAACGGATTACTGACAGATTTTTTTAACAGATTAGCAACGGATTTTGGCATTATGAAAAAAATTATAAATTCATGAAAAAATTAAAAATAATTACATATTCAACACATAAATTTTTTAAAACATGCATCTATATTTTAAAACCAACAAATATAAAATTAAAAGGTTTTTAAACATAAATAATAGGTAATTCTAAACAACTCTCATGCACAAAGATGTAATAAAACACACAAAAGTCAGAAAAATCTAATATAAACTTTTTTAAACACAAATGATTCAGTTCCTGCCTTTTCTGAAAATGGATGCCCAAAAACAAGCCAATCTTTTTCCAAAAGCACCTGTATAAAAGTAAAAATTAAAATTTATATCCTATTTACATGGAAAGGTAACCATCACTGATTAAAATATTTGAGAAGAGTATGATGAAACGAACCTCGATGTAGCATCAGATGGAAAAATACCATTTTTCCCACCAGCTTCAACAACCATGTTGCATAATGTCATCCTTTCTTCCATCTAAACAATAAAAATGAGAATCAAAATTCGTAAAAAAAATAGTAACACATATCTGTATAAATTGATAAAAAAATCACTTTGTTGCATACATTGGTTAACAACTTACTGTTGGACTTTCGACAGTTGAACCAACAAACTTTGTAGAATTATAGCATTGTACTTCAGTTAAACCTAAATCTTGAAAGTATTATGCTTAGAAATGAGGTAACAAACATAACACAAGCCTCTCATTTGAACCAATTTCAAGAAGAAGAAAAGTAACATAACACACTAATTACTGAAGGTCAATAAGGCAACAAAGCGATATATTTCATCCTAGAAATGAGGGACATTAAAAGAAAAGGAAAAAAACTTACATATAGCTAAGATTCTGTATTCTGCTAAGATCAGGCACAACTCCTTGCAAGCTACAGTTTCTAAGGCTTTTGCAACACAAGTTCAAAACTTTCATTTATTTGTTTATTATAGAATCATTATCATTATATTGTATATGAAAAAAAGCAGAGGATGTTCTGAATAGAACTTACAATTTCACTATTTTTGATAGATTTCCAAATGAAGCAGGAATTTCGGCTCCATCAAAGTAATTGTTATTAAGTTGACTGAATGATAGGATCAACAAATAGATGAGCATTTATGATTTAACTAATTCATTATGATCTAAATATTATCTTACACTATCAGCATATTTGGGAAATTTCCAAATTCTGATGGAAGATAACCGCATATATTGTTGTTGTCCAGAAGCCTATGAATAAATATGGCATAAAAAGTTTAGATATAAAAATATAGAGATAAATGACAAGACATAAAACAGATTGTACTGTGTTTGACTGGAACTGGCACAGATGTCAATGAGATAAAAGCTGCAATTTTTGTCCCACCCAGAAAGATGGGACAGAGACTCGCTCTTGATCTCTCATTGGTGCAAAAGACGTGAATGCCCTTATCATATGAAAGGAAGAGAGAGAAGCATGCATATGATGTTACTCACAAGTGCATTAGAGTAGATAAGTTGGAAAGTTCCAAAGGAATTTGACCACTTAATGAGTTGTTGTTGAAATGGCTGAAAACATCAACAAAAAATGTTATTTAATCACATAAGCCCTATATAGTGCAATAAAAGTAAGGCATAAAAGACTTGTAAATTACACCTTCGTTAAGATGAATTGTTTAAAGTAAATGTTTCCTTCCTGCGATGTTTTGGATCAAAGAAACAAAGCTCCAGGTCAAGTTGATCCCCTACAAATCAAGATATTCAGAGTTTGCTTTGATGCTAATATTTTAATGTAAACAACAATTTCCAATTATGCCCTTGGAAGGCAAGAGATTTGTGGGATAGGCATTACCTAACGGTGTGCAAAATCTTGTAGAAATTAGGTTTTAAAGCACTATTTGCTGCAAATTCACATGCCATTTCTTAGCCTTTTAATGTAAGCATTTGGCTTTGAAAAAAAGAAATTTGCATTTGAGATTTCGTATATGCCATTTCCAAATAGAACACAAAGGTTATAAACAGGGGACTAGCATACACGTATAAACATAGACAAGAAAAATCGAACTTTATGAAAACAAGATGCTAAACTAATGAGCCATGCAGCATTAACCATAGTCTTTTGTTGTATAAACAAAGAAGCAAAAGGAAGGAGTCAAAATCAGTTTGGTTGATAATGTAAAGCTATACAATTTGTATTGGATTTTCTCTATTGGTTCCTAAGGTTTTTTGTTTGTAGCTGATTAGGAAAATAATCTAGATAAGCACAGCGCCAGTTTTAGTTTTAATCTGAATGTTCCAATAACTACTAAAAAGGGGGATAAGAAAATGTATTGCTGTCCATGTTTCTAAATACTTATCTACTGGACAGGAGTTGATAGGAAAAGATATCGTTATATGATCATCCAAATCCTCTCGAGTCAGTTATAAACAAACAATAACAAGATGTTCTTAAAACCAATTAACCTAAATTCAAACCACCACTGATCATGAACGGAAAGGTAAGGATCAGAACAGAAATCTAAGTCAAAAACCATAAATAATGTCAATGAGGCAATACATCGAACACATTATGTGCACTTACAAACCACAAGTAGAATCATCAACAAAGAAATAGAGAGAAAGGAGAGGAAGAGTCATATCGGATAATGAGAAAGAAATAGAGATATTGTAATAACCGTATTACATTTACCGTATTGCATTTGACGTTTTCTCGTAGTGTCTCGAATCTTCTGAATACGGTACCCTCCTCTACCAATTCCGTTCCCAATCTGACGTAAAACGGAAAAATAATCATGAAATCGAGGTCGATTGTTGTGAGTGGGTTTCATTTGTGCGATTTCGAACATAGTGCGAAAGAGTAAAAGGAAACGGAAAAACGATTTAGGGCAACATCATACCTGGATCGTGCAGTCAAGGGGGAAAACGAGAAGAAAGAAGAGAGGAGGTCGCGATGGTTGGCGATTGCACAAGTAAGCGGCGATGGTTGCACACTTGTAACTGGTAAGTGTGTGCGATGGTCGAAGCTCGACGGTCGAAAAGCGTATCTGGATCGTGAAGGCCATCGTGAAGGCAGAAGGGTTACATTGGTTTCAAAATAAGGAATCGGATCGGGTTTTAAAATATGGTAGATTGGGTTAAATGGCTTGGGCCTTGGGGGGTCAATAGCCCATACAGAATAGGCATTCTAATTTCCGTTGCTAGTTCGTTATTAAATTTCGTCTCGAATCCGTTCTTAAATTCCGTGGGTATTCCTTCGGAAAATTGTAATGACTTACCGACGGATGTTTATTCTGTCGCTAAATCGTTAGCAAACTGTTGGTAAAATCTTTGTAATCGGGTTTTCTTAATCCGTTGGAAATCCGTTGTAATTTCCGACGGATTTTTTCCGTCACTAAAATTCTGTCGCTAATACCATTTTTTCTAGTGGTGCTTGTACATTGTTTAATTAGATGAATGC